GCCCCCCCCAGCCCTGCAGGAAACCTCATTGTTCTCAAAACTGCAGCTTCAAGAAACACAGGATGCCAAATCCCTCCCAAACAATAGCTGCCACCGCTCCACACAGCCCCGCACAATACTCAGTCTCCATGTATGGGGACTGAGAGGCACCCGGGGTCCCTATGGCTGGCCCCCCCCCAGCTGTCGGAAAGAGTCCAGGCGCCCGCCGGCAGCCCCTCACCCCCTCCTCAGCCTTGGGGAGGGCCCATTTCTTCTTGTCTTTGTTGCCCTCCCCTTCATTTCTCCTTTCACAGTGACTCATTTCCCCCCTCCACCAACTGAGCTCATGGGTCGCTCATGGCTGGGGGCTGCACAAGGCATCCCACCAACCAGGGCCACCCCAGCATCACCCTGCTCCCCTCTGCACTGCCTGGATGAGTGGTCCAAGATGGGGTGCACGCTCAGTAGACCCCACGCCTCCTTCATATCCTCATCATCCCCAGCAGCACACCCAGTAAAATGGGGAACTATGGCCAGGCAGGCATCCCTGTGACCCTGCGGTGCACAGATCCTGTCCCTGTGCCATGTCTCACTTCCCCATGATGGGAGAGGATGGAGTACCCCAGCACCCACCTACACAGCCTTTTCCCCCACCACCGAGGGGGAAGCGGCCACCTCACTTGGATGCAGGAGACAGCAAAGAGGTGCTGGGGGAAAGAAATCAGCCTTTAGCTGAGCAGCAGACTCCAGGGGAGGCAAAGAGGCTGCAGGAACAGGTCCCTGCCTGGCTTTGTGTTCCCCACAGCAGATGTTTTCCCTCTGGCCTGCGGGGGTTAGGAGGGAAAATCCCCACCCTGCTTCATCCCATTCTGAGCAGTGCAAAGCAGCGTCCCTGCGATGGCAGTGTCCCCACTCCATGGTGGTGCTTTCCCCAGCACTGATGAGGAGGGTCTGCGCTGGCCCATGTATCCCAGAGCTGGGACCTGCAGAGGCAGGAAAGCGGCTTGCAAGGCTGCGGGGCCCTTCCTCCTGCCGCTGCTTTAGGCAAGAGGAAGAATCCTCCACTGTAATTTTAAATGCTATAATTTTTTAATAACCTTCTCGCAAACAATGAGCTCATTGTGCAGTGAGGGTCCCCCACCCTCCCTCCCGCCCCGCGCTGCTCACCGGCTCCAGGGCTTTTATGGACAAGGACAGCAGCATCACTTGGAGCAGGCGATTAAGGGGCCCCTCCACCCCCAAAAACCACACAGGCTGCCCAAGAGGGGACATCAGGGAGGGACCCTCAGCGCTCAGCAGTGCTCAGCAGGCCCTGGCACATAGCCCAAGGGAGCTGGCTGCACCATAGAGCTGGTTTGGGATGAGCAGCCCCCAGGTCCCAGCCCAAGTGGGACACACGCATGCTGGCACACTCCACCGTGGCCACTGCAAGGATGGGGACCCTGGCCAAGGTGCTAGAGGAACTTGGGAGCAGGCACTGGAGCAGCGTGCTCTCTGGAAGGCAGACCCATTCCCTCTGCCCCGAGAGCAGGAATTTTTCAAAGCCTGCAATTACCGTGCCGAGCGGGAGGAAGCGAGCAGAGCCCACGCTGGTGGGATGGGAGCCCAGCCCAGGGCCCTCACGGGCATTGCGGCGTGTGCCGAGCCACCCATCCGCCTTTGGGGTGCCCCAGGGGCAGGGCATGCTTCTTGTGCAACTCTGCCACTGCAGATCTCCCGACTTAGCAAAAAAAAATTGCTCCTGTCCAGGATTTCTGTCTAATGGCCACTTTCCTCCCTCCTCTCTCTTTCCTTTCCAGTGCAAAGCTCCCCCAGACTGCACTCCAGCATCCTTAAGGATACAGCTGGAAACTCTCCCCAAAGCAAGAAGGGGAAAACCCCATAACTCCCCTCCAAACAGCAGCTTGTCCAGCATGGGTTGTGCAAGCTGTGGAGCAGACTTAGAAAGGAATAAGGAACTGCCCTCCCCGTGAAGAGAAAAGCAGGAAGGAGAAGGGGGTGCCCTTTGCAGTGTCTTGGAGGGGACAGAGGGCAGGAAACAGGGACTATTGTGGGCAGAACAAAGAGCAGCCAAGGAAGGACACAATAGCTATTCCTCCTATCTGCCAGGGTCCAGCCTGGAGTTACCTGCTGGATTTAACCCCTTATCACCAGTACCTTCATCCCTCCTGCCCAGAAAGCAGCTTGGGTAATGAAGAGCCAAGAGAAAAGTTGGGTTTTGAGGCAAGAGGAGGATCAGTGAAGGAGAGACCAGGCATCAGGCACAGAATCATAGGATCAACTAGGTCGGACATGGGGGGATTCTCAGCCCTTGGGCAGGAACTTCCCCATGTTGGCCAGGCAGCACATGTGCCCAAGCATCGTTAGTGACACAGGAGTGAGACAGTGACAGGATGAGGAGCCATGGGCCTGACTCAGACCAAGAGAGACGTTAAGCAGA